TTATAAAAAATATTTAATATTTAGTTTTGTTAATTTAAATTAACAAAGAATTAATTATATAATATATTGATTTGAATCTATATAATAAATATTATATAATTTTAAAAAAAATTATATACTTAATTCTTACATTAAAATTTTTTAATTCAATAATTAAATTATTAAAATTTAATATAAAATATAAGTTATTAAGTGAAATAAATATATCAAAACTTACTTTAAAGTAAATATATTATATACTTTCAAGATTAATGAGTAGGACAGCAGTGACGTGTGAAATTGCTAAAAGAAAATTGGTCAGAAAATTATTATGGAGACTCAAACTTTAAATAATTTCAACGACGGTTTGAGAAAGTTGCCAACCAAAAAAGAAAAATGAAGGCATGCATCCATGAAAGGATCCTTAACCACTTTGACAAGAAACAGGCATTATATTCTCGGCTGTCTAGTGTGATCGTGGTTATAATTTTGGTCTTCTTTTCTTCTTCCTCTTTTTCGCGTGCTTTGGACTTTGGACTTTTGAACAACAAAGCCACCCTAATTTATCCCAGACCAACTATTTTGATTTTTCTTGCTTCTGTAACGTAATTTATATATTCAAGTTGATTTTGAGTAATTGATGCCGACAATTTTCTTCATTTTTATAAGTGAAACCGTTAAAGTCCATATTTTCATAAATAATCAAGTAATAAGATTTACATTTTTTTTATGAAAAGAAAATACATAGTTTTTCCAATAAATATAAAGTAAATAATTTTTTGATTGATTGAAAACAATTTATACATTGCATCCAAATCAAAATTGACATGTATAATATATTTATTAAGTTTCATAATAATTAAAACATTTTTCATGTTTTGCGTGGTGGACAAAGTAAAAATAAAAGTATATACAATCCAATGTTCTTTGCTTTATTTTTATTATTATCAACCTATTTATAGGTAAAAAAAAAAGAGTATATAAATCCAATTTATTTTTATTTTATTTTATTATTATCAATCTATTTGTAGGTATAAATGACAATGGATTGGATAGAATCCTAACAGGAGTAAGTATAAATGGTGGCTGGATATTTTTTTTAAGAACAAATCTAACATGAAGTACTTTATAAAGTGCTCGTTGGTGAGGTAGATAATTTTTTCTAAAATAATAATATTCTATTATATAATTTATTTTACAATATTTTTTTTATAATATTTAATATTTTAAATTTTGTTTTATTTAAATATTAATTGTTATAACTACAAAAGTAAAATTATCAAAATGTACTATTGTTCAAATTGGGTAACATGTTTTATATATATTTTATTTATGTCTTAATCTAACTTTATATAATAAAAATATATATATAGAAAAGGAAGAAGAACGACACTGTCCAAATCAAGTAACAAATTATATATTTTTTAACATGTGACTTGTACTAGCAGGGTTATTCGACCACCTGGCTCGGTCACTCGGCCACTTGATAGCCGACACCTAATCGGCACCCGAGTGGCCGAACCAGGTGGCCGATTAGCTACCACATGATCCATAGATCCAGATTCCCATTAATGAAGAGTTAAGGACTCCCCCTAATTAGGGATTAAGAGTTAATCATACCAATAAGTCGATTAGAGGCGTATTACCTAATCTGGTAATCCTGTTGCAGGGCCCATGGGAATCCGGGCCCATAAATGTCAGTATAAATAGCTCATGTCACGAGGTAACGTCACTGTTCATTAATTACTATCGATACTTGTGCTTTGTCCTGACTTGAGCGTTGGAGTGCCTTTTGCAGGTACCTCCCCCTCACCGAAATATTCGATCGAAACTCTCGTTCGGCCCTCAGAATACGAGAAGGTTACTAGTGTGCCCTTCAGACAGGTACATTTTGGTGCCCACCGTGGGGCCGAACCGAGAAAACTGAGAAGACAAATTAAGACAGCAGCAGAGTCTACCGAATTGAGCTATGGCGAAGACAAGGAGAACCAACACAGAAGATCATCATACAGAAGAGGAGGAACATGTCGAGGTTGTTGATGAAACTGATCTGTTCGAAACAGTGCGTTTGCTGAAACAGGAAATGGCCACGATGAAGCAACAACGGGAGAAGGATGCGAGGGAGCTTTCGGCCTTAAGATCCGAAAATGAGGCATTAAAAAATCAAGATTCTTCGTGGAAGCCTACTCATCCCACCACTACTCAGACACAAGGGTCTTATCAATCTCATGAGATCCGCACATCGATTCCTCACGGCTCGGTCGTGGCACCAGCAAAATCACCTTCGGCCTTGCATACGGTCGGACGACCCGCCGACGTGGCAACCATCGGCTCACATCGGCACCCTTTCACATCCTCCATTATGCAGTTGCCCTTGCTTGATAACTGGAAATCGTTGCCCATTGATAAATATGATGGTACAACCGACCCTGATGAACATCTTGATGTTTTTCTCACGCAGGTAACCTTGAGCACCACGGATGATGCAGCTTTGTGTCGGATCTTTCCGGCGTCTCTTAAAGGCAGGGCTTTGAGTTGGTTCACTCGGCTACCTCCTAACTCAATCGATTCGTTCAACACTTTATCCTCACAGTTTACCATCCAGTTCGCAACAAGTCGTCCCCATAGCTTGACCTCTCTATCATTGGTAAGCCTTCGGCAGGACAAGAAGGAGTCTCTTCGGACCTTCATGGATCGGTTTAACAAAGTAGCGTTGGAAATCCGAGACCTTAATCCGGCCGTAGCACTCCATCACCTCACAACGGCATTGAAGCCGGGGCCGTTCGTCAACAGCATTTGCAAAAAGCCTCCTTCGGACATGAACGATTTACGAAGAAGGGCCGACAAGTATATGCAAATGGAGGAGTTAGTTGAATACCGTAATCAGGCCCGTGCCGAGTCCCTAAGCAAGACTGAAAAGCCCGCAGAACAACCTTTCAGAGGGAAAGGCAAAGAAATAACACTGCGAGACCGACCCACTCGTGGGCCGAAATACTATCACTACACTCCCCTAAATGCCAGCAGGGCAGCGGTGCTAGAAAAAGTCCTCGCGTCTGAAGTATTAGCGGTCCCGAAGAGAGCTTCTACCCCACCACGGGCAGATACCAGCAAATCTTGCAGGTACCATCGCAACCGTGGACATTCTACCGAGGAGTGTGCTGCACTTAGGGACAAAATAGAAGATTTGATCAAGCAGGGACAGCTTCATAACTTCGTCGATCGGTCCGGCTCATCTCGGCCTCGCTCAGCATATCAACCTCGACACCAAGAACGGCACCAGGATCGGCATCGGCATGATAACTCTGAGAGGACTCGGCGCGACCGAAGCAGGTCTCGCGATAGAAAGGATGACCCCTCGGCGGCGCATAGGAGGGTCATCAATACAATCGCAGGGGGGTTCGCCGAGGGAGGATCAACTTCCTCGGCTCAAAAAAGACATTTACGTGCTATTCGCTCGGTTCACGCCGTTGATAGGCAGCCTTCCCGAAGACTACCAACCATAACTTTCACTGACGCCGACTTTCAAGGCATCGACCCCGTGCAGGACGATCCAATGGTGATCAGTGTGGAAATTCACAACTGCATAGTCAAGAAAACGTTGGTTGACCAGGGCAGTTCGGCGGATATTTTATACTGGAATACCTTCAGGCAGTTAGGTATTTCCGAGACGGAGTTGATCCCTTACGATGACCCGTTGGTCGGTTTCTCAGGAGAACGAGTAAGCACTAAGGGATATATCAAGCTATTCACTCGTTTTTGTTTTGACGAACAAGAAAGCAGAGAAATTCAGGTAAAATATATTGTGGTGCATGCCAACACGTCCTATAATATCCTCCTCGGTCGGCCATCATTGAATATGCTAGGGGAGATCCTTACAATCCACGCCGATCAGAAGGCTGCTCGGGAATGCTATTTCGCCAGTCTGCGCATATCTCCCGTCGAAGAAAGACGACAAAAATCCAAACGTGTTCATGCCATAACCCCTTCAACATCAGACGAGTCGGTCGACTGGGATCTTAACCCACGAATGAACGATGAAGAACGTGTCGAACCGATTGACGAGAAAGTCCAGTTACAGCTCGGTGTACTTCCCACGCAAGTCACATACATCGGCGCCGATATGTCCAAGGAAGACTGCTCAATCTTAAGCCTTGTGATCAGTCGGAACAAGGACCTGTTTGCATGGACACCATTCGACATGCCCGACATAGATATGGGTGTTATGTGTCATAAATTGTCAATATACGCTGAGGCACGACCAGTTGCTCAACGTAAAAGAAAAATGGGGACCGATCAAAAATTAGCAGTGGAAGTTGAAGGGGCAAAGTTACTTGAGGCTAGATTCATCCGGGAAGTTCAATACACTACGTGGTTGGCAAATCTAGTCATGGTTAAAAAACCAAACGGCAAGTGGAGAATGTGCACTGACTACACTAATCTCAACAAAGCTTGCCCAAAAGATGCTTACCCACTCCCAAACATAGATCGGTTGGTTGACGGTGCATCGGGTCATAAGGTCCTCTCCTTCCTAGACGCTTATTTGGGATACAATCAAATCCGAATGCATCCCCACGATGAAGAAAAGACGGCTTTCATCACTGACTCAGCTAATTATTGTTATCGTGTGATGCCTTTCGGTTTAAAGAATGCAGGAGCAACTTACCAGAGATTGATGAATAATATCTTTCGAAACCAACTTGGCAGGAATATGGAGGTATATGTCGATGATATGGTTGTCAAGTCCGAAGGCATCACCCAGCACATAGATGATCTCTCCGAAGTATTCCAGCAACTCCGCAAATTTGACATGCGGCTCAATCCAGAAAAATGCGTGTTCGGCGTATCGGGTGGAAAATTTCTCGATTTCATGCTTTTGGCAAGGGGCATTGAAGCCAACCCCGACAAGTGTCAGGCAATCATCGATATGAGAAGTCCCCAAAACCTCAAGGAGGTTCAGAAGTTGGCTGGACGGCTCACATCTCTTTCAAGATTTCTACCATGTCTCGCAGAGATTGCAAAGCCTATTATAGGTTTGTTAAAGAAGGTCAAGAAGTTTGAATGGTCCGTCGGTTGTGAAAAGGCCTTCAATGAGTTGAAGCAACGTCTCGGCTCCCCTCCTGTTCTCTCTAAACCCGATCCGCAGGCAGATATGGTGGTGTATTTGTGTGTATCAAATGAAGCCATAAGCGCCGTTATAGTACAGGAAAACGGCGAGTAACGGCGAGTGTATTTTATCAGCCGGCTGCTACAAGAAGCCGAAACAAGATACCAACTCTTGGAGAATGTGGCGCTGGGGCTGGTACACGCGGCTCGATGGCTCTGCCAATATTTTCAAAGTCATCATGTCGTGGTTCGGACTGACTGCCCGATTGCCAAGGTACTGTTTTGGAAGCTAGTGAGGAAGATCAACCTAATTGGAGCCAGATGTTTATAAGTGGATTAGATGACAGAGAAAAGATTCTGCTGGAGGAGTACACTTCGGTCTTAGTGAATTATAAGGATGTCAGGGTGAAGCTCAATGATGTGGAAAAGAAAAATCGGGACAACATTTTTGAGTTGACACTTCAGGTAAGCAATGATCAATCTATAACGTTTACTTAATATGTATAATTTAAATTATTGGTTAAAATAATTATACAATTAACTTTATATCTGTACAGAAGAAAGCAAGATGAAATTCCAAAACAAGTATAGAATATATTAAATACTCTAGCATGATTTTATTATTAGCAGTATGGTATTCACAATTTTAAGTATAAAACAAACATCCACTTGCATAAATATTCTTAGATTAAGAAAGAAAAGCTCCATTTATTTTAAAAGAGAATAGTAGTTATAAAACAAAAGTATAATGTTTTGATATTATTGTCTAAACAATACAAGAACTTCTCCTTATAAATAGAGTACATTGGTATGGCTTTGGTATTAAATAGTGAGGACAATGACCTCCACTCTTATATAGAATTTCCCATGCAGCTAAGGGAAATGAGGAATGCTCTTGTGACAAAGGATAAAGAGATACAGATTTTACATCAGAAGATGAACTGTCCAGATGGAAATCCGGATGAAAGTCCCTACACCACCACCACAGAATACAAATACACACCACATGAAGGGCTTCTTCAAAAAGCAGGTCAAGAAGCGGAGTCAAAAATTTCATCTTCAAATTTAGATGCAAAATCCCATTTTGCAGAACAAGTTGAATTTGAGAGAACAGGAAATAATGCCTTATCATCTATGAGAATGACACTAAGTTGTATTCATCTTTTGAACTAAAATAAAGTTATTTTTTCTTTCTAGTACAGCTAAGGTTGCCAACAGATTTATAGCTGATATCTGGGGATTGATGTATAAAGGTTTTTGCTGGATCATTACTGTAAACCATGCATTCATCTTTTGGAATAAAATAAAGTTATTTTTTCTATTTGGTCTGCTAATGTTCCTTACAGATTTATATAAAACCAGATAGTTTTTCTAAATTAAATAAATTAAAATTCATATTTAATATCCTGAACATTTATCAAGTCTAATAATTGAACCAGTTCATCCTGCAACACTGCATTGTGTTCCACCCACAGTGATAACTCAGTTCTTATCTCTCTTAGGTGTCTGAATATTGGCTTGAGTTGAGATTGTATAGGCTGTGGTTTAGAATATGAATACCCTTCAGACTTCTTGTTTTTTTCCCTTATCAATTTTAGCTCAGCTTTTAAGTCCTGAATAGAGTTTTGGAACTTTTGAATCTGATGAACTGAAGTGCTAAACCTCAGCCAAAACTCCAGGTTCTCTTCTAGCAAATCGTCAATGTCCGAACGGAATTTCTTTTCCAAATCTGAAAGATCATGGCACTTATCTTGATGTGCCATCAGCTTCTCTAGTGTCATTCTCATAGATGATAAGGCATTATTTCCTGTTCTCTCAGATTCAACTTGTTCTGCAAAATGGGATTTTGCATCTAAATTTGAAGATGAAATTTTTGACTCCGCTTCTTGACCTGCTTTTTGAAGAAGCCCTTCATGTGGCGTGTATTTGTATTCTGTGGTGGTGGTGTAGGGACTTTCATCCGGATTTCCATCTGGACAGTTCATCTTCTGATGTAAAATCTGTATCTCTTTATCCTTTGTCACAAGAGCATTCCTCATTTCCCTTAGCTGCAAGGGAAATTCTATATAAGAGTGGAGGTCATTGTCCTCACTATTTAATACCAAAGCCATAGCAATGTACTCTATTTATAAGGAGAAGTTCTTGTATTGTTTAGACAATAATATCAAAACATTCTACTTTGTTTTATAACTACTATTCTCTTTTAAAATAAATGGAGCTTTTCTTTCTTAATCTAAGAATATTTATGCAAGTGGATGTTTGTTTTATACTTAAAATTGTGAATACCATACTGCTAATAATAAAATCATGCTAGAATATTTAATATATTCTATACTCTTTATTTCCGACCCGGACAATTTTAGGGGTCTACAAGATGTACACCTTAGTCCACAACAAAGGAAACCCCAATCCGTTTGACATATGGTACGGATGCCATGATCCCCGTAGAAGTTGGCGAGCCTTCGTTCCGTCGGGTACATTTTGACGAGGCAAGCAATAACTTATCCCTTCGGGCAGAGATTGATGTTGTAGATGAAGTCCGAGACAAGGCACGCATCGTAGCCGAGGCATGCAAACAGAGGATGAGCAGGCGATTCAATTCCACGCTTTCAAAGCGATGTTTCAAGGAAGGAGACCTAGTGTGGCGCGTTCAAGGATCGGCCAGGCGCAACCCCCGTGAAGGTAAATTGGCAGCAAACTGGGACGGCCCATTCAGAATCTGCCACTCTCTCGACAACGGTGCATACAAATTGGAAGAGCTTTCGGGAAAGGTCATTCCAAGAACGTGGAACTCAACTCACTTGAAAGCTTATTTCAGTTAACCAAATTTCTTGTAAAGATTATCAATCAATGTATGCACAGTGCACTCTTTTCCTTGATCGGTCTTTTCTCCCCTTATAAAAAAGTGAAAAGGGGTTTTGGCCGACAAGGTTTTTAACGAGGCACATCATATTAATGAAACACATTTCAACTCAGTCTGTGTATTATCTTCATTCAAGTTGTTACAAA